AGATCCCACATTTTTTTTATGACGTGGTCCGATTACAGACCTACTGTGAGATCTCACATTGATTGGAGAGAGGAACAAGTGTCAACGAGAAAGCTGAGCTTCGAAGGGGGTGGATTGTCAGATCCTATATCAATTGAAGAGAGAAACGACATTGATTGGAGAGGGGAACGGGTGCCAACGAAGATGCTAGACCCTGAAGGGAAAGTGGGTTGTGAGATCCTACCTTGGTTGGGGAGGAGAACGAAGCATTTAAGGGTGTTGAAATCTCTCCCTAATAGACACGCTTTAAAAACTTTAAGGGGGAAACCCTGAAAGAGAAAGTCTAAAGATAACAATATTTGGTAGTGATGGGTTGGGAGGAGAATGAAGCATTTAAGAGTGTGAAAACCTAATAAACACGCTTTAAAAACTTTAAGGGAAACCCTGAAAGAGAAAGTCTAAAGATAACAATATTTGGTAGTGATGGGTTGGGAGGAGAATGAAGCATTTAAGAGTGTGAAAACCTAATAAACACGCTTTAAAAACTTTAAGGGAAACCCTGAAAGAGAAAGTCTAAAGATAACAATATTTGGTAGTGATGGGTTGGGAGGAGAATGAAGCATTTAAGAGTGTGAAAACCTAATAAACACGCTTTAAAAACTTTAAGGGAAACCCTGAAAGAGAAAGTCTAAAGATAACAATATTTGGTAGTGATGGGTTGGGAGGAGAATGAAGCATTTAAGAGTGTGAAAACCTAATAAACACGCTTTAAAAACTTTAAGGGAAACCCTGAAAGAGAAAGTCTAAAGATAACAATATTTGGTAGTGATGGGTTGGGAGGAGAATGAAGCATTTAAGAGTGTGAAAACCTAATAAACACGCTTTAAAAACTTTAAGGGAAACCCTGAAAGAGAAAGTCTAAAGATAACAATATTTGGTAGTGATGGGTTGGGAGGAGAATGAAGCATTTAAGAGTGTGAAAATCTCTCCCTAGCATATGGGTTGGGGAGGAGAATGACGCATTTAAGGTCACCCAATATAGGGTTGTTTCAAGTAAAACACGTTTAATGTTGGAGTTCCTACGATTGAGTTATCAAGCAAGGAAGTGCATCTTGGAGTTCCTATGATTGAGTTACCAAATAAGTCTTTTTTAGTTATCATATCTTTAAGATCACTCTCATTCAAATGTGGTATCAATTTATGTGTGTACTCGTGTTTTGTTCAAGTGTCACACCGAGCAAAAAAATATAATAATAAGGAAAAAGATAAGTATCCAATCTTTATTCTTCATATTCTTTGAAAAATGTTGGCCTTAGAAGAGTCTTGAATGCATTGTTGGCCACGTGTTAGATGCGTAGTCTCATCAAATTTGGAATGAGAGGAATTTACCATTATCTCAATATTATTTTTTATTTTTATTTTTATTATTTTATTATTTTATTATTATATCCTTTTGCCTCAAAATCTTTAATTATTGCTGTATGCATTTATTTTACTAAATCCATTAAATACTTCTAGAATAAGCTATTTAACCTATCAAATAATAAACATCACAATTTTGGTGTAAAAATAAAAATAAATTAAATAAATCATAATTTATTAATTAATTCACAAATTGATTAAATACAAAATTGAAAAATTGTGTCTTTATTAGACATAAAATCCATAATTTCGTAAATTTTAATATAAATATTAAATAAGTCAAATATTTATTAAATACAACTTATTAAAAAAATTACTATCTGTGAATATATTAAAATATTTTTAAATTTAGTAATATTCAACATAAATTTATTATTTCATCTAAATCTAAAATAAAATTGGAGAATAAAAATTATTAAAAATTTTAATATTTTGTTTCAACTTTTTCACCGAAAGTAAAAATCATGAGGTAAATTTTGTTAGGCTGTCAAAAAAAAAAAAAATTACTCCAACTTTCAACTCAGTCATTTCCCATTTTACCCATTTATTATCATGATTATTCATCATGGAATCTTAGAGATTAAACAACTTTATATTTAACCTTTTCTTTTTGTTTTTTAAATATTAAAATATCATTTTAATTTATATCCTAATTTTAGTATCTTTATTTCAATATTCCTTATAATTTAGTTTAAATTAATTTTTATCTAATTCGACTAAAAAAAATAGAAGGTATGACCTAGACTCTGAGTTCAATATTTCTATAAAGATGCTGAAGCTCAAGATCAATATGACCTACTTGTGTATCAAGATGTTGCAGATCAGTATGGAGTCAATGATAAAGCTCCAATAACTCCGACCAAGCCATCGTGTGCTAAACGATTTACTCTTGATATCGACTTCATAATGAACGTATACACATTAAGAAGGAGAGTCAATCGTCAAATACTCGAGATCATAGACAGAATGTGAGGTCTCATATTGGTTGGGGAAGAGAACGAAACATTTCTTATAAGAGTGTGGAGACCTCTTCTTAACAAACACATTTTTTAATCATGAGGTTGATGGTGATATGTAATGGGTCAAAGCGGACAATATTTGTTATAACAGTGGGGACCCCACTCTTGTTATTGTTATTATTATTATTATTATTATTATTATTATTATTTGGATTGAAGTCTTTATTTATAATATTATTAAATGTCCATGAGACATGTTGGTTGAAATAATAAATGATCATTTAACACCCGACTTTAAAAATGAAAAAAATAAATAATTAATAATTAAAATTTATACAATACATTTGAGTTTTGTGTCAAATCGCAATGTAATATGTCGTATTTTAATTTGATATTAATTATATGAAAAGAAATTAGATTTTTAGTTTAAGGTTTGAATTTTTCTAGTAATGTTCGATTATTGACGTGTTAGACTTATAATTATGAATTTTTTATTTTATTTTATTTTTTCGTTGTCACGTCATTTCTTTCTTTTTTGTCGATCTGTTGTCATCGAGGACGAACGAGGCACGAGAGGAGAGATAAAAAGAAAGAAATAATTAAAATTCTAATATTACTTTTTTTATTTAAAAATAATAATTACGTTAAATTAAAGATAATAAACATTTTACTCGATGGATAAAGGTCACAAAAGGCACGTGAATATCACGTGAGTGAAACTTTCTTTTTTTACACGTGATGCATCCTTCGGCGCCAATTACTTTCTTTTTATTTTTTTATTTTATTATTCTTTTTTTTAATCATTAACCTTTCCCAATTTATTACTATTTCCATTTTAAATTTTCTATTTAATAAATCTTTAAATTTTAAATTTACTAACTATGTGCTATAATTGGAAGGAAAAATAAAAAATAAAAAAAAAACAAAATTGAAATTTCAAAATCTATTACTCAACGTATTATTGATTCTTTGCTTGGCATTATCTCGTGATCGATCGTGGATAGGTTAGCTTGACTGGGCTTCGTGTTAAAAGTTGGAAGTGATCTGAGCATTTGTTTTTTTCCATATAGACTTATGCCCTGACACGTGTTCTGCAGTGGTTAAGTTGCATAGAAAGTTGTGATTCGACTCATAATATAATACCCGACTTTTCATATTTTCAATAATATAAAACAAAAACAATTTGATTTAATATGGAATTTATCTCTTTTTTTTACTATGAAAATGTCTAAAATAATATTAATAAAAATAAAAAAAAAATCTTTTTTTAAGTAATGATTAAATTGGATAAGGAGAGGCTAAAAAAGGAAACCAATATTTTATAAGTTATTAAAAAAATAATAATAATCATTGAAAAACTGAGCAATAAACAAATATTTTGTTTTTGTTTTTGATAAAAACCAATAAATTGAATTTTTTTTATTTGTTATTTTATCCATTTCCTTATTGGCCACTGTGGTAGGGTGTATCATATGGAGATGGAGCGTCACACACCTGAGAATTACGTTTAAAATACTTAAAATACAGTTAACGAACAACTACCAACTCAAGCTTGATTAACTTCCAAAACAACGAATTTACGAAAATACCCTCCATACATGAAATAACTCAAATACTTTATTTATAAATTTTTAAAAAACCCAATTAAATTACAATTAAGAAATCAAAATGATGTGATTATTTATTTTTAAAGGGTAAATATTTTATTCTGAAAACGAATATTATTAGTTTGGAATAATTAAAACAATCATTGGATATTCATTTTATTATGGTATTTTCCTATATATGTCTACAAATAATAATGATTTTTTTAAAAAAAAATAAAAAAAATATAGCCATAGTTGAAAAATGCATGCCTTCTCATCAACTATGAAACTGCAAACGAAATATTTTTTATAATGGTATAGAAACTTAAGGGAACACCCGAAAAGTCCAACGAAGACAGTATTAGTGCGAGGACGCTAAGCCGGGATGAATTGTGAGATCCCATATTAGTTGAGGGAGAACGAAACATTATCTCTCCCAGAGGCGTTTTTTTAAGAGAATAGATTATCTGTCTTAACCTATTTTGACACCAAGAAATGCAGTAAGTTATTTCTAGAAAAAAAAAAATATGAATTTTTTTTAAGAGTTGAAAATTGAATTTCATACCTATAATTATATATCAGGGACTCTAACAAGGTTGTTCAATGAAAAAAAAAATAAGAATAAAAAAAGGATAGTGTTCTAGATTTATCACAGTTATAGAAAATTTCAATATTTGATTCAACTCAAAGGTTGAGATTGTATGTACCATTTATGATCTTATAACTAGGAAAAGCACAACGGTGAAAACTCAAAAAAGATAACATCTTGCTAGTGCGAGCTCGAAGAGGGGTGGATTGTCGGATCTTACATCGATAGAGAATGAGAAAAAAATATTGAAAATCTCTCCCTAGCATATCCGTTTAAAAAAACAAACATTATTATGCAAAGACATTGTATTACTTGATGGGGTTGACTATTCACAGGAGAAATGGAAAAAAAATCCATGGTCTAAAAGGAAATGAAGATGGGAAAGTTTGATGCTTTAAATGGAAGAGAGGAATTACGGTTTTTTCTTAAAAAATTTGCGTATTTGGAGATGTTTATCTATGGGGAAGGCCACTAAGCCGGTGCCCTGAAAAAGCAATATTGATCTCTTGCATATTCCCTGGTCCGTGACGTTATATGTGAGCTGCTGGGGCTGCACCTGCTCTTCATATCCTTCGCTCTCTCTCTCTCTCTCTCTCTCTCTCTCTCACTCCTCTCTAGCGGGTCTGGGAAGAACGAGGGCTCTGTTTCACAAGACCAGACCCATTGGCTCTCTCTGCAAAGCTTGTAATGTTGTTTTCATAGCCTTATTTTTCTTTGTTTTTTGTGGGGTTTTTGTTCTTGTTGTTTGCATGAACGAGTTGGGATTTTAGTGTTTTGCTCTGTTTTTTCCCCTTTGTTTGTCTTGGATTCACCCAAATGAGTGAAGAATCATAAACCCTTTTGTTTTCTTTCTGTTTAATCGATGATTTTCTTGCATGTTCTTCCCTGTTTTGTGGAGATCTTCTCCATTCTTATGGAAAATCCTTTCCTCACCTCTAAAAAATGAATGGTTTCAATGTTAGATCTCTTTATGTACTATCAGCTACTCAACCAGTCATGTCTGTTTAGCTTAGATCAATGGCTGATTACATGATCCTGACAGTTTCAATGGACAACATGTTTTCCCTGTCGGATCTTCATGTTCTTTATACTTGTTAAGATAGAACAAGCAATGATGAGTTGTGATTTGAAGTGTTTTGGGTTATGCAGAAGTTGCAGAGAGTTCATTTGGAGCTGAAAAGCGGCGATTCGAGAAACGATGCGCTACGAGCTATGGTTTGCACTGCTAGTGATTTACAGGGGTGGAAGGATTTTCCTAAGGGCCTTAGAGTTCTTCTCCTTGATGGAGATAGCAGTTCTTCAGCTGAGATAAGAACAAAGCTTGAGGAAATGGAGTATGTTGGTGAGACATTGCTTGCCTTCATCCTTGTTCTTCGCTAAAAATCTTTCCCCATTTGGAATTTTTGCCTAACTTATCAATTGACTTGCTTGATTTAGTGTTTTTATGTCTTGGTCCCCATTTCCACTACGCTTTCTTCCTCCTTTTTTTGCTCTTTCTCTCTTTTCGCTCTTTCGGGTTCGGTTAATTTGGTTGTTTTCGATGTTGCTTAGTGTATAATGGTAGAAAACATTCATAGATCAATCTTGGTTTTAGAAGAGAAACGTTACCAATCGAGTAATTCATGTCGAAACTATTGTGTTAAGTACTAATGTAACCCGCCCAAGCCCACCGCTAGCAAGTATTGTCCTCTTTGAGCTTATCCTTTTGGGTTTCCCTCAAGGTTTTTAAAATGTGTCTGTTAGGGAGAAGTTTTCACAGCCTTATGAAAAATGTTTCTCATTCTTCTTCCCATCTGTTGTGGGATCTCGCAATCCACCCATCTTCAGGGCTCAGCATCCTCACTTGCATTCGTTCCCCTCTCCAACCTATCCTGAGATCCCACATCGGTTGGGGAGGAGAATGAAACATTTTTTATAAGGTTGTGGAAACCTCTCCCTGGCAGACACGTTTAAAAACCTTGAGAGGAAGCCCAAAGAGGACCATCTGCTAGCAATGGGCTCGGGCTGTTACAAGTAAATTCCACATTGGAAAATATACTCAAAAGAATTAGCTGCTCTAATTGTACAGCCATTTTTTGAGCTGTGAAGAGAGGTCTTCTCATTTAAATGTTTTTGTGCATATATCTGAAGACTTAAACACATATTCATTACAGTTGTGACTTACTGCAATGAGAATGATGCATTGTCAGCCATTTCGAGCAAGCCCGATACCTTTCATGTCGCCATTGTGGAGGTAATGGTCGACAACTGATCTAAATACCTTAAGTTCATTCTATTATCGCTGGAAGATGTGTCGAGCAGGTGGATCACCGTGGCATATTTATGAAACTTCTTTAGTTGATCAGGTCGTAGTTACTTTTCTAATGGCACGATGTTGCATTTGGTTAGGTAACGACGAGCAGTCACGATGGGAATTTTAAGTTTCTTGAAGCTGCCAAGGACTTGCCTACCATTAGTATGTTCAGGAGACCCAATCTTGTTATTTTTATTAGGACTAAACTATGTTCGTTGTGTACGATTTCGTGGCTTCTAATGTGAAAGTTTCGTTTTGAACAGTGATTTCGAATATCCATTGCCTAAGCACGATGATGAAGTGCATAGCGGTAGTTTTACTCGACCTTTTTAAGTGTTTCTGGCTTTTTACTTAAATTTAAACTTGATATCGAATGTTTGTGATGGACTGTTTTCAGCTAGGTGCGATTGAGTTCCTTCAGAAACCGCTGTCAGAGGACAAACTGAGGAATATTTGGCAACATGTTGTTCATAAGGTCAGTTTAAACTATCTTCAAAACCATTATCAGTAGTGAAGAATGCTTTAAGCTTCTAGTTTTTCTGATCCGTTAATCCTAAGCAGGCGTTCAATGCAGGCGGTAGCGCCGTTCCCAGTTCTTTAAAGCCTATCAAAGAATCCGTTGCCTCCATTCTGCACCTAGAATCAGAAAACAGTGAAAACGATAATCCAGTCCCGAAAGAGTTAGAAATATCGAGCAGTGATGATGACAATGATCGTGAACTACTAGAAGGAAGTGATAAGTATCCAGCTCCTTCAACTCCTCAGCAGAAGCACGGTATGCGGCTGGTGGACGATGGCGACTGCCAGGATCAATTGAACTGCTTGCTCGAAAAAGAGTGCGCGGAGCAAGACGGGGAATCTAAATCTGTCGAAACTACTTGTATCAATTCGCTTGGTGAAGGCATTTCCCAAGTGGAGAACACTCAGTTACCTGACAAAGAAGGAATAAAAGAGGAAGAGAACTCTGCTGATGGCTGTGGGGCTGCGAGTAACGATGATCACGAGATACATGATCAAGACATCATTAGCAGTTCCGAAGAAAACAAGAGCAAAGCATGTGGTCTTGGTAATTCGAGTGGGACGAAAGTTAGTAGGAAGAAGATGAAGGTATTTACCCTCGAACTTAGATGTATATATTCTTTATTTGAATCTCCTTGGAAAGTTCTTTGGACTTCATGTTGTTTGTCTTGCGATCAGGTAGACTGGACACCCGAACTGCACCGAAAGTTCGTACAGGCAGTTGAACAACTCGGAGTGAATCAAGCAATTCCTTCTCGAATTCTCGAGCTGATGAAAGTTGAAGGCTTGACAAGGCATAATGTAGCAAGTCATCTTCAGGTTAGCATCAAACTTGCTCTCGCAGTTTCCATTTATACTCTTGGTTTACGTCTCCCTTTGTGCAAAGACCTCTTTACTACTTGTGTAACAACCCAAACCCACCGCTAGCAAATACTGTCCACTTTGGCCTGTTATGTATCGTCGTCAGCCTCACGGTTTTAAAATGCGTCTGTCAGTGGAGGTTTCCATACTCTTATAAGGAATGCTCTGTTCCCCTCTCCAGCCGATGTGGGATCTCACAATCCACACCTCCCTTGGAGGCACAGCGTCCTCACTGACACCACGTTCCATGTCTGGCTCTGATATCATTTATAACAGGCAAAAGCGGACAATATCTGCTAGTGATGACCTTGGGTTGTTACTACTTAAAGTTTAAGTTTTTTGCAGAGAGTTCTTGAAATAATGTAGAACTTGGCTCCCGATATTTATTGTTTGTTCTCAAGCAGAAGTATCGGATGCACAAGAGACATATCTTGCCAAAACAAGACGACTCGAGTTGGTCTCATTCAAAGGATCCAATGAGGAAGAACTGCTATCCACAGAGACCTGTGATGGCCTTCCCTCCTCCTTATCATTCAAATCATGTAATGCCAGTGGCTCCGATCTACCCGCCGTGGGGTCATATGGCATGCCCCTCGCCCAGTGTCCAAATGTGGGTGTCGCCCGGTTATCCGTCCTGGCAACCACAAGAAATTTGGCCATGGAAGTCATATCCTGGGGTAATATTCCTACTACAAAAAACTAGCACACGTGATCAGAAGTACTTTTGTAGGAATTTAAGCAATTTATAGTTAGCTTCTAAACATTTGATTATGCTTTTAGATGTATGCTGATGCATGGGGTTGCCCTGTGACACCACCTCCTCATAGCCCTCTCCCTTCTCATCCTCCTCAAGTGGGTATACATTTATTTTCATATCCAACAAACATGTGCCTGTTGATTATTAGATTCATCTGATAAGCTCATGTTTTCCACATTCTTCCTGGAATCAGCAGCCTATTTTCAGATTTGAAAATGCAGACGCACATGATAAAAGCTATGGCATTGCGTTCAATCCGATGGAACTTCAACTGGTAATACAGCATTGTTCTTATTCATCTCTTTGCACTTTTTTTTTCAAGACTTTTGTCTCTACTGTTCTCTCGTGAATCATTTGTCCCGATTACGTTTATGTGAACACAATTCAACGAGAGGTTGATTCCCAAGAATCCTGTAAAAAGACATCAATACGAGAGGCAAAAACGAAATATCAGAGAAACTTTGTTTTTGTTGATATAGGCTGATGAAGAAATTGACAAAGTGGTGATAGAGGCAATCAGTAAGCCATGGTTACCATTGCCATTGGGGCTAAAGCCACCTTCAACAGAAAGTGTACTGTCTGAGCTCTCAAGACAAGGCATCTCAACCGTCCCTTCTCAAATCAACGGCTCTAAACTACTCCAATAACAGTCTTTCAAAAGCTCATTTGGGCCCTTCCACTGTCTGAGCTGATTTGGACCATCTGATTTTCATCATCTGCAATAAAAAAAAGAAAAAAGAAAAAAGAGAGGGAAGGGACAAGTGGAGCCCAAAATCAAGATTGGCACGTGCAGGGTCGGGTGGGGGTGTCCCTGAAATGTGGGGCTGTGATCCACTGTTTCATCAGTCCATTTTGCAATGGACGACTGAGGAAGAGCCACGAAGGTGAGTTTGAGAACACAAGTTTGAGGTGTGGCTGTGAGGATAGCAGAAAAAGGAGGGGCGTGGTGGGTTGGTGAGTGTTGGAGTAGTGGAGGATGAAATAATTGAATTCATTAGATTTTTTTAGAGAGAGATAGAGAGGGAGAGAAGATGAGATGATGATGGTGATGTGTTCTTTTCTGATGGGACCATAATTTGAGACTTTCTTCAATAATGTAAAATGACTATGAACTTTTGGTGCCATATTGTTTGTTTCCTTTAGGATAATAAAGTTTTGATAGGAACTGTTTTGTTTTGCTTGTCCAAATTTTTTGTTGGCCACAAAGAAAAGTTGAACATCAACTGTCATGAACTGAATGATTCAGGAATGGGATGAAGATGATAGAGAGGAGGATTCAACTCGTTTAGACATGTTTTTTCTTACTAAAATGTTAGAAATTTAAAATTTTCATTTCACTACTCGTGTTCAAATTGAGCAAAGTACTTTTTGCTTCTAAGTTTTTCTTTAAGCAAAAAGCTTAGCAACTTCCTCAAGCAATTATTCAACTCTTTAGCTTGATTTGTCTTGTTTTTGTTTGAGTTTCTTGTTTTAATTGATAGGTTAAACTTTTCTCTGTGCGTTGTAGGTAATGAATTGACGTATTTTTTACAAGAGAAATTATTTTTGCCAAACCTATTGTGATATCCCATATCGGTTGGAGAGAGAAACAAAACATTTTTTTATAAGGGTGTGAAAACCTATCCCTAGCAGACACGTTTAAAAACCTTGAGGGAAAGTCCAAATCGGATAATATCTGTTAACGATGGGTTTGAGTTGTTACAAATAGTATCAGAGGCATACACCAGCAGTGTACCAGTAGGATACTGAGCCTCGAAAGAGAGTGGACACCAGGCCGTGTGTTAGCGAGGATGCTGAGTCCCAAAGGGGGGGTGGATTGTGAGATACTACATCGGTTGAAGAGAAGAACGAAATATTTTTTATAAGGGCGTGGAAATCTCTCCCTAGCAAACACATTTTAAAACCTTAAGAGAAAGCCCAAAAAGGACAATATCTGCTAGTGGTGGGCTTGAGCTGTTACAAATAGTATTAGAGGCAGACACCGGCCAGTGTGCCAGCGAGGATGCTAAGCTCCGAAAGGCGGTGGACACCAAACCATGTGCTAACGAGGAGGCTGAGCCCCAAAGGAGGGTGGATTGTGAGATCCCACATCGATTGGAGAGAGGGGAACTAAGCATTCTTTATAAGGGTGTGAAAACCTCTCCCTAGTAGACAAGTTTTAAAACTTTGAGGGAAAATCTGGAAGGAAAGGTCCAAAAAAGATAATATCTTCTACCAATAAACTTGGACTATTACAAATGTAAGTAATAAATTGGAACTTGGCCATATAAATTGGAACTTAGGCAATTGCCATTAGGCACATGAAAACTACCAATCAAATGACTAACTCTGTGTTTGAACTAATGGTAATAAGGCTCCAAAACTGTACTTGATGGAAAATGTTTATAACAGAGCATTTATGAAACGTTAACATGATTGTCCCACTTTGTTTAAGAGAAACTCCAACTCTAATATGAAAGAGTCCTTCTAACTCGAGTAACTCTAGGTAGGTAGAAGTACAAAAGGATGTAAACAAGATGCAAAGAATACAACACGAGAGAAGCTTTAAAGCACCACAACAGGGGAAGTAAATGTGAACAAAATTTAGAGCCCTTTTGGTAATAACTTATGAATCATCAATATGCATCTCAGTTTCTTACATGTACTTTGATCACTTCAACATTCTTGACTAATTACTTGAGCAGATGAAACTAAATATCTTCCCTACCATCCCTGTGATCGATCTCAGTTTTTCGAGCTTGAACATAATTTTACAAGCTCTCTATTTTACCAACAACACTAGCTTACACGTGGATAGAATTCTAAAAACAAAAAGTACCTTTTGAGAAGCTGCTAAAAATCTAGCATTTATTCATCACTGGAAGTGCTGTTGTGTGGGCTGCTTACAACCCAGTACTGTTTAACAGCAACCATTATCTTCTCTGGCACAAGAGGCCCATCCTCGTGATCCATCAATTTCACATCCCATCTCATACCGGCAGCTATTTTCTTCACCTTATTCAGGACATCGACCCCATCTCGGAGGATGACGATTCCCTCTGGCCTCAAAATACGGTCCATCTCTAAAAGGATGTCCTCGAGATTGCACCTATTTATAGTTTCAGAGGTGAAGGACAGCCAATCAGAGGGTGTTGTATAAGATGGATTAAGATATACTTAGCCACTTTAGTTTAATATCAATACACTTCTTCACTTGTGGGCTCGAAAAGTAACGTGAGATCCAACAAATAAATAAACAGTATCGATTGAGAAGGAATGGCACCATAGTGGTTTGAACACCAGACTTTATACTCCATGGTTATCATGGTTGGTTCTAAAAGCTAAAACTTATAGATCTATCTAAGTGGCTCGGGAGTGGAGGATAGAGAATAGTATTTATAATGGTTCAAGCTCACCGCTAGCAGATATTGTCTTCTTTGGGCTTTCTCTTTCAGGTTTCCCCTCAAGGTTTTCAAAACGTGTCTGTTAGGGAGAGGTTTCCACACTCTTATAAAGCATGCTTCGTTCCCCTCCCCAACCGATGTGGGATCTCACAATCCACCCCATTTCGGGGCCCAACATCCTCACTAGCACTCGTTCCTCTCTCCAATCGATGTGGGATCTCACAATCCACCCTCCTTCAGGACTCAGCATTCTCGCTAACAAACCGCTTGGTGTTTGGCTCTGATACCATTTGTGGGGTGATGTGCCAGCGAGGAGGCTGAGCCCCAAAGGTGGGTGAATACGAAGTGGTGTGCCAGCAAGGACGTTAGGCCCTGAAAAGGGGTGGATTGGGTGTCCCACATCAATTGGAGAAGGGAATGAGTGCCAACGAGGACGCTAGGCCCCGAAGGAGGGTGAATTGTGAGATCCCACATCGGTTGGGGAGGAGAACGAAGCATTCTTCATAAGGGTGTGGAAACCTCTCCCTAGTATACACATTTTAAAAACCTTGAGGGGAAGCCCAAAGAGGTCAATATGTGCTAACAGTGGACTTGGGCCGTTAAGGCATTTTTTCCTTCCCAAGCAATAGAGATATAAGGAAGAAGAACTTTTAGTGCCTAATGGTTTTTCATTATAAAGAGGAAGCCTTTCTTTGTACATGAATCATTTTGATAGGTGAGCCTGTTCTGTTTATTGACTACACTCTACTCTAATAAGCCTGTTCTTTTTCTCAACAAAGTTGAAGTGTAATTGTTGATGAAGAAGAAGATTAAAATACTTACGTGTTCTCATACAGGTTGAATACATCATTCCCATGAATGAAGTCGTACGTCCTCGGGTAAGTAGAGAAGCCCTCACACCTTGACAAAAGAAAAGCTCAAATTGAGACTAAAGTGACAGAAATTTAAATTCAATCAAATGGCTTTAACTACAAAAGGAAAAACAGAGGAACGTACCAATCATGATACATGCCAACAAGACCTCTCTCGTAAATGGCTCCGAGAGTGTTCTTGACAATTGTAGGCACAACATTCATCACCCAAGAATTTTTCGAGTGAACCGCAGCTGCAAATCCCCCAAGGTTTGCATTCATATCCATCACATTCCTATATCTTGGGCTGCCAATCAATTTATTTATCTTCTTGTAAACATTAACATGCTTTCGCCAAATTTTGTTATCCTCTTCAAAAGATTCAACTGTAACCTCTGGAATTAGACCGTTCAATATTCGGGGAGGTACAGCAAAAAGCCTTGCTGGGAACTTTTTCAATTTCCCTCCTGCTACTTCTCCATCACTTGTTACCTCAGGAAAAGGGGTGATGCATGTTTCCATTTTCTGGTACCTGGACATAGAACACAAGAAGAGGAGAGATGTAAAAATGAGGGTCACAATTAGAAAATTATACATACCCAAGTATAGAATTAAAAATACAGAATTAGATCGAGTTGGACTCGATGCTGAACGTAGCTATTTCCCAAATATTGTCAATCTCCAATCAAATTGATCATTTCTAAACATAAAAAGACACTGTTCTCCAAAAGGAGATAGTCGTAACTTTTCAAATTGAACATGAAATAAGATTAACTTTTGTGACCATCCCCTATGCCATCCACAGACCAGATAGTATTTGGTCGATCCTGGGTCACCTCGAAGTTATTAGACTAACTCGATATGCCAAAGTTGAAGCTTAGATGCCAAATAATGAAAAAACCACAATACTTTGCTTGCTTCCTAAGTGATTTATTTAGCCTTTAGCAGTAAGATATATCGAACAATATGTATAAGATCAGAGAGTGTTTCCGATGCAACTCACCAGACATCTTCTACATCATTTGCTTCACATATTTTTGCAGTCTTCTTCCTTTTGCAGGATTTGTCATTGTCCTTTTTCCTCCAGATCGCAATATCTCCCTTCTCGTATTTTTTCTCCCAACAAAGCTGCTCGGCTAACTCTTCGATTTTCTTCTGCTCTGCATTTAGGTCCTTTTTAGAACGCTTCCATGTCTGATAATAGGTCTTCCAGTTGATTGGAGGACCAGATAGGATCCAATAGCCACCAGGTCTGAGGACTCTGTCGACTTCCATCAGATACATACCATCTGTGTGCACAAGTTCATGGCTTAGAGACGAATCGATACTTCGATAATGTAAAATAAAAAAATATCAGTAAAAATGGTGTTGGATATTAGGATCTTGGAATCAAAATACAATTATAGCTACATGAAGTTCTCTTAATTTGACGTTAGGTACCATTTGATGTCACCCAAATGAGGCTTAAAACTTTGAGTTCTTATTAAAGAAATTAGAGAAACAGATAGGAATACGCATAAAATTTTAAACAAGATATCATGGAATTTTATCGCTTGAGAGACTAACCATTTGCAGTCCATGGTATAAGGCATCTTGAACACTGTGCCATATCGAAGGCTCTAGATGGATATGGAAGGCGTATACTACCCAACACGCCAATAATAGCAGGTACACCACGCTCCAGTGCGAACTGTATCTGTGCTTCGTGATTGTCTCTTGGTGCAAACGACATGGCCAATACATTTCTCTTGAACAAATATGCACCCCAGCTAGCAACCTGTATCGAATTTGGTGTAATTAGGGTGACAATAGATTATTTAAAAACTATGATCTGAAAAATTCAGCAGCAGTTCAAAGATTAAAAAATGGAATGCTATGGAACAATGTAAAGAAGTCATTAGACATTTATAGAGTATTGCACAAGTATTCAAATGTAGCGAAGGAAGTTAGTAAAATCCCCTTGTACTCAACCATGCTAATGACACTTTCATGAAGGAAGATAGTTCGTTAGTTTTCGTCGGTAACATACCCCACAACCAGTATCCAGAGCTGTTCTAATGGAACCATCTGCAATTGGAATAACTGATGCTAGTTCATCGATATATGCATCGGCTCCTTGAGGAAACATTGTCCCACCACCAGGAAATTTAAATACATTGCCCTGAAACTCTACCCAATGCTGATTTGCCTTCTCAACTGTCAGGCTCTTATATGGAACATTGGCGTAATGAACATAATCACGGCCTTTAGGCCACGGAAATGGAGTCATATAACCTTTGGGAGCTGGAATGAGGCAGTGCAACTTTTCATCTACTGGAGGGCAATGCCTTTCCCTGTATATCATATTTTCCCTAGGGAATCTCATAGCTCGGTCTTGTTCCTGGCAAGGTGTATAATCTTTGTACTTTATGTCACATGGTTTGAACACCTTTTTTTTTGGTTCAGAAGATTCGATAATCTCAATACTGTGATGAGTCTCGAAGTTCAAGTCTTTAACAACGTTGCAATTTGATAGCCTTGTAATTTCCATTGCTATGCTATCTCCTTTCCCAAATCCACTTCTCTGCCATGCTCCCAAAATGTAAAAGAAAAGGCATAGACCAATCACGGCAAATAGAGGTATCGAACCTCGGTTTTTGTTCCCTGGAAAATTATGCTTTGATCCCATTATCTAAATGTGGCAAATCTTTTGAATCTGCAACAATTTGTCAAACGGTTAGAAGCATGGACTTGGACTAGATGCCATGGTCAAGCAATCAACAATCATAATTCAAATGTAAAATTTTCACTTCATTAAAGCAACCGCCTAAGCCCACCGCTAGCAAATATTGTCCGCCTTGGCCCGTTACGTATCGTCTTCAGCCTCATAGTTTTAAAACGCGTCTACTAGAGAGAGGTTTCCACACCTTTATAAGAAATGTTTCGTTCACCTCTCCAACCGATGTGGGATCTTACAATCCACACCCCTCGGGGCCTATCGTCCTTGCTGGCACACCGCACAGTGTCTAGCTTTGATACCATTTGTAACACCCCAAGCCCACTGCTAGCAGATATTGTCCGCTTTGACCCATTACTTATCGCTGTCAGCCTCATGGTTTTAAAACACATCTACTAGGGAGAGGTTTCCGCACCCTTATAAGAAATGCTTTGTTCTCCACTCCTCACAGGCATTCCAAGGTTATAACTTACACTTATCAGACCATAACTCAAGAATCATCAAAAATCCAGAAATGAGAGGTGAAAGGAATTACGAAACTACGACACAAAAACAGAATGCCATCGTCTACAAGTTGGACACTGAAATAAGTAAAACTGAAAACCACCAATGAAGCTACCAACCATGACTGCATTCATTTACATATTCATTCATACAGATTCACTTTTCCCTTCGACTTATTTTTACTTCTGTCATAATCTCAAGTAAGAAAAAGATTCAAGAAAACTCAAACCAACTTTGAAAAAATCAGATCGAACAAGATTTTGTTCAACAGTACAAATCTGACAGCACCGGTCGAAATTTATACTCCCATCACTTTCATCACAGTACAATGGCTACGTAGAATCAAATCCATTTAACCAAAGATCGTCAGAATGGGGAAAAATACAAATCCAGTAAGAAATCTGTAAAATGAAGCAGAAAATACGATGCTCAAACGATTGCATCGGGAGGAATTAAAGAAATACAAGGCAGTAACTAGGATCTATGGATCAATGAACTTGAACTTGCCAAAGTGCTAAGGATCTAGAAACTTCACAATCAAATGAAAATTACTTCAAAATGGTACCTCCGGCAACACTCCGGCGAGATTTCAGATTTGCTCCCACTGAGCTGAAGAGAGAGAGTTTGCGCTCGACAGTGGGATTGTAGGATCAGTGAGAGCGATGCATTAAAATATGAAACGAAAATAAAACTTTACAGCTACGAAGAAATGGTGGATTGAAATCTGAATCGAGAAATACCAATCCCAATCCACCGACAGGACTTTCTTGTCGAGATCTATTGATTAGGCGAGAACTGAAAAATTAAAACTCGTGTTATTAATTTTAATTACAAAATAGTATTTAATCAATTTGTTATATGTTCTATACATTTTATTTACTTAGCTTGTTCCGATTTTTTCTAACTTTCGTCGCTTTTTTTCTTTATAATTATTAATTATAGTTAATGATCGGTAAAATATTGAAATGTAAATTTAGGTTTTAGTATCCATCCGGGAGTGGAAAGAAAATTCTCCCATTTAGCTAAAGAGGGATCCCCCATCTCAACCCCGCCCAAATTTCTACCCTCGTCCCACCAAGCCACTGTCTATGTGTCCCTTAACAAAGCCACTGTCTGTGAATTCCCGATTCATTCTTCACAGCCACACAATCAGAGTCTTGGTCTTCTCCCACTATTTGGAAACTTACGGTTTCATGTTTTATTTCACTTTTTGATGGGGTTTTTTCACCTTTCCCTCACTGTAGTGCTTCACTATCGATCACCTAGGAGTATTTAGCCTTTACAAGTTGGTCCTTGTTGATTCACATGGGATTCCACATGCCTCATGCTACACGGGTCAGAGCATAAGCTAGTGATGTTTTTGGCTACTGGACTCTCGCTATCTAAGGTGCAGCACTCCCCTGCTTTGCCTAGCAACAATACATATGTATATGTATATCAAAGCTAAGATGGAAAAAACTTGTAGTCTGACTGTCACAAAAATAAATGAGAAATTTTGCAAATATAAAAATTGAAATTGGAGACAGATACGGGGATGGAGAAGACTTTCCTATCCCCTTCCCACCTATGAATTCACATACCTATGCCATACTATGTTGAATATTTACACCCGATTTATTATAGAACTAAATAAATAAATAAATGTCGGAATATATTTAAGAATATGTATTTATTTATACCATTTATTGGGTTATAACTAAATTCAATTGAATTTAGACGTGTATTTATTTATTTTATTATTTGCTAATTCTTTTTTTTAAAATTTGTAGAATTTAATTATTAGAAGAGAAAAAAAAAAAGCTAATGAACGTATAAGGAATCGGACACATCAGAGTGGCTTTCTATTGGCCTATTGTAGCCAGCATTTATTACGTCATAAATATGGTAACATGCTTATTTTCAAATAAATATTTATGTGGGAATGGAAATCTTTAATAATAATAATAATAACGACAACGACCACAATTATCTATTACTATAAAATAATCGGTCGTAAATTAATTTGTAGGTCAATTGATTTCGTGTTATAGTTAGGAGTGTCAACGATTCAAATAACTGATCAACCCAACATAATTTAATTTGTATGATATGAGTTGGATAATCAACTGTTTTTTCGTGTTGTAAAAAAGTTGAACAATGAAAATAGATGACGAGTGCTTAATCGAATTGATCGGGTCATGTAGGAACAACGTTCAAGTCTATCGATCGGTTAGGACACCATAGCTGCATACGTCACTACACTTACACTTGACACTCATCTCGTCATGACATTCTCATGAATTCTCAAAATTCCAGTCGCTCCAATCTCGCAAGAGTATAGAACCCATAGTTGTCTCCACGATGCTAGGAAATCAGAATACGAGAGCTCTCATATTAGGAAAGACTTACTACTTAGATGCTTTGAATAGTTATGTCGCTTTGCACTTGGCTGCCCGCGGGCATGATAATTGATACATCAAAGGTGCATCCTTCTCATACTAGGAATTGAGTTTAAGACGGTTTTAATTTTCGTTTTTACCTTAATTATTATTGAAATTATTTGCACAACAATAATAATATTTATAAAAAGAAATATTTTCAAATTTTCAGGTGTGAATGACCAAATTTAAGATTTTTTTTTTCAAAAAATATATAAACTAAAACTGCTAAAATGATATTAGGGAATCTACCGATATTTTTCCCAGAAAAAAAGAACATATATTCACATTCATCCCAATCCACATTCTTCGACGTCTTGCAATCGGCTTATTTCGTGTTCGATAAAAAAAAAAAATCGTGGGCTGAGACGCCGCGCCGGTGATCGGAATCGAATTGCGAGTCGGGGAAACGAGGAATTTTCTTCGCGAATCCCCCCATCAAAAGGTACCTGATCGTCGGAATTTCTTTGCTTCGTAATCTACTTTTCTGAGAGAATTCGGTAATGTATCCGTCTGCCAACGCGCTTGATTTTACTGTTACGGAACGTTGGTGCTGAAATTTGGATAGTTTCGCTCACACTGCATGAAATTACTTGCGTTTGTGAGAAAAGAGGGTTGAGATTGAGAATCTTTCACTCCTTGCGATTGAGAAGTATCAGGAATTGTTCTGATGGGAGGAGTTATTTCGATTTTTCTTTGTTCACGAAGCAGTTTAGATTTCTAAGAATATCAGTCTCTTATTTACTTTACTTTTATTTAAGAAGGCTAGCAATTCAGTTATGAATGTTCATAGATCACATTTATATTCACCATTTTGGTTTGGTGATTGGCATTCAATCTGAAGTTGGAAAATGGTGAAAATTATCCCATTATTGACTCAAATGTGCTTATGGGTGTTTGAGTAACAATATAACTCAATGAAGAATCCTACAGGAGCTCTTTTGTATAAGATAGAGGAGTTTTTGAATTGAATTCTTTTGGGAGGAGTTCCTTCAATTTTCATTGTTCACGAATCATTTTAGATTTCTAAGAATATTGATATGTTCTTTCATTTGTTGTTATTTAAGAAAAGGCAAGTTATTCAGCTGCAAATGTTCATAAACCATATTTATATTCACTAGATTGGTTTGGTGATTTTGGCATTCGATTTGAAGCTGGAAAATTTGGCTTGTTGGTTGTCAATGTCATAATTTTCCCATCGTTGAGTTCCTTCCGCTAGTTTTATTATGTCCTTGTGACTTCGGGTACCTTTTGATGGGGGCCGATTTTCGAATGCTACATTTCGAAAATGCTAAAGTCACAAGGTACCCAAATTGCCAAAATCTTCATGGGGTACCCCCATCAAAAGGTACCCAAAATTCAAAAATGCTACAAAAGGTACCCAAATTCGGCCCCCCCATGAAGAATTACTCAAAAGTACCAATTTAAATGTAAAACTGATTCGTCTATTGTGATCAACTTGTTCGTTCTCACTTTTTCTCCTGTGGATTTCTCATGTGGTTCTATTCTGTAGCCTTTGTCCTCAGTCAGGTGAATCCAACGAATGGCGGACTTGCCGGGTTCTTTGCAAGCCTGTTTGAGTATGGGGAAGGTGGCATTCTTAGCAATTTTGGTTTCCGGAGGAATTGTGTTGCAGATATTGGTAAGTAAAATTCTTTTTTGAAACTTTTGATTCATTGAACAATATCTTTAAAATTTTTGGGTTTAGAACACATTTTTGATATCTCGTTTATTATCTGCTATGGCAGGCATGTGCCTTGTACAATAATTGGTGGCCAATGCTAAGTGGTATATGACTAAAATTTCTCCTGGACCCTCTTTTAGTGCTTTTTACACCATGAAGTCTCTCTGCGGCTAAGTTTTATTTTTTATTTTTTATTTTATATATATATATATATATATATTTTATTTGCTGGACTTACTATACCGATTTCTTTTCCGCGAGTATGATTTTCCATCCACTAAACTTCTGTTTAAATACAGAATCTCTTAGTAATGGCTAGATAGAAGTGTTTTTCATCTCCACCATGCTCCACTTGAAACTTTATTTCTAGCATTTTTACTCGACATGACTCGTATAATGAAGAGTAAGGGTTTTCAATTGTTCATGTACGACCAGCCCCTCATCGAGAGATGTCGGTTGGAGGGTTGAGTGGTAACCAAAGGACAATTCGTTTTATTTCCTGTTTCTCTTTTTAATCACAAACCGATTTCCTATTTTTCTTCTAAAACGTTGGCAAGTTACAATCAAAATGATCATACCTTTTGATTGCTGCTTGTCACCACAATTTTTGTAGTGGTCATACCGATGTTGGGCATCTCTGTTTGATGAGGTTTACAATTTTTATGTGCATTTTATTATGGGACTTATTGTTCGATATTCTAATAAAGCTTGCAGAGCTTGTAGCTGTTCATGTAGTGTGTAATGACTGTGGCTTTCGAATCTGACATCCCCGTGTTCTTACCATTTGATTTCTTTCTTCAGTACAAATGTAGATAACTTTTTGTACAAATATATATTTTTCTTGACTAATTTCATGGCACTATTCTTTGCAGTGATAATGTATGTACTTCTCCCCATGCCTTTACTATTCTTTGCGGGATCTGATAGCTCTTCACTATATACTGATTCGACCGATAGGTTCGACTTTTGACTTCGTAACCCATTTGATAAGCGTTTTTAATCAGTTGAAAGCATTACTTTTAAGATATGAAAAGATTATCCAAAACAAACTTTTTGTATTCATAAAATTCACCTACTCTTCCTTTTCTCCCCACATATCATTATCATTGAGACAGCTGGATCAATGCGACAAAATTCTTGACCGGAGCCTCGACTATAGGAAGCATTGCCATCCCCATCATTCTGAAGCATGCCGGGATCATTGGCTGGGGGGCAATGGCAATGGACCTCTCGTCGTTTGTAGTATTCGTGATTGCCATTTTGTGTTTCATGGGGATGAGCGAAGACGACGGCTACACCATGTTCTGAGATACTGCATCTCCATGGCAATGAAGCTGAAGCTGTGTGCTATCTCCATCTGGTGAGGCTTCTGGTTTTGTTCTTTCTTGTCTGAGATTCTCCTACTACATCTGCACATGTTTAATGAAGATCATATATTTCTTCGTTGGTTTGTTGTTATCTTTGAATATTTGTTGTTATACCAAAATTGAGATGAGTAAGAAGGGGGTTGATAGTGTGATCCCAGGTTGTTGAGTGTAAATGTATATTTGAAAAGGAATGGGCATTGAACCAGATGTGAATTGTGACTGTTCTTGCCCCATGCTTGAAATGGGATGTATTTGTCTATTTGGTTTATAAATTTTGTGTATGAAACTCTCAATTATACTACAAATTTAATTTACAAGCTTTGAGATTTACGTCTTTTTAGTCTTTAAACTTTCAAAACTACAATTTCCTCTCGATCTTCGATGATGAATTAATACATAAGAGAGATGCGTTGAGAAAATGTGGGTCAAAATTTTGACGAAGGTTTTCCAATATCTGTATCGAAATCTTGTCAAGTTGGTACTTTTTAATCTTGTCGAGTTAGGTACTTTTTAATGAAACCTAAAATTTGTGAGATTTACTTGTATCCCTTTATTGGGAGTATGTGTTTTTAGATACACATAATTTGATTTGCATGAACACGAACATATAGCCCAACAGGATTCGTCTAAAACGTGTTCATGACTTGTGATCAATTCGAATTTCCTTACCAAAAAGGGAACAATATATGCACAAATTACAGAATAGATAGCAAGAAAAGACAATGAGTAGTCGCATATTCCCCATGGTGGATTCTCATTCTCATTCTCATTCTCATTCTCATTCTCAAGCTCCCCACGTCTCTACAAACCTGCATTTGCTCTGTTCTCCCAAAACCCATCTCCATTTCCGCTGCTTCTCAATACCCTTTGCAAATAACATATACATTCCCACAGACGGACACAAGCTTTTGCATCTTTTCATCAATCTCTGCCGGCGATGACGGCTTCAGAAGATGAAAATTCCATCGACAGGTAAATTCGCAGCCCGCAGATGGTTTTCTTTGTTAATTTAATGCTTTACTGTTTTCAATCTGAAATTTGTTCGTGATCGCAAACTATGACCTAATTTTCTGATGCATTTTGAAATGTGTCTCTGTATTCTTGTGATTCTTCTTGATCGTGCTCATATTGTTACGAATCTTGATTTCTCGCTTTCTATCTAATACTATCTCTTAATTGAAACTAGGGTTCTTTCTGCATTTGTGAAAATTTTAAGAGATTTGTTAGGTGGAAAAAAAGTGAAGTCATTGATCTTGACGCTTGAAGAAGTTGGTATTTGATTTAGATCATCATAGAGCCATCAATTTCTGGTACTTAGGTTCGATCAAATTTTGATGGCGTACGCCAAGCATTTTGAGTTTGTGCTTTATTTCAATTTGGTGCCTGTAGTTTTGTAAGTTTCAATTTAGTTCATATAGTTCGGTTTCATTGCATTACCAGCCTCCCTTTACCTGGAAATGCACCCCGTCCCTCCGTTTCTCATATCGTCAACCAACTTCTAGATATATCTTGTATTATGAGCGGTTTGTAATGACTTTTTAAGTGCTTAAAAATACTTTTCTGCCCTTAAAAAGTGATTCCAATCTGATCTTAAACGTTAGCTCATTGCCTCTTTTTGCCACGTCAAAAGAAAACATACATAGTAAATGTAACGGCTCAAGCCCACCGCTAGTAGATATTGTTCTTTTTGAACTTTCTCGTTCGGGCTTCTCTTCAAGGTTTTTAAAACGTCTCTGCTAGGGCGAGGTTTCCGTACCCTTATAAAAATGCTTCGTTCTCCTATTCGACCGATGTGGGATCTCACAATCTACCCCTTCGAGGCCTAGCGTCTTTGCTGGCACATTGCTTCGTGTCCATCCCCATTCGGGTCTCACCCTTCTCGCACCATATTGCCTGGTATCTGACTCTGATACTATTTGTAATGACCCAAGCCCATTGCTAGCCGATATTGTCTTTTTTGAATTTTTCCTTTCGAGCATCCCCTCAAGGTTTCTAAAATTTTAAAACGATGGGAACCAAATTGAAACAAAATGCAAACTATGGAGACTAAAGTGAAAATTAACCTATTAACTGTCGTAAAAGAAAGAAGTACGAGCACGGGATCGAAACATTTGTTTGTCACGACTTTAGTCAAACATAAGACGAACAAAGTCCACCAAAGTCCTTTTTAGTTTTCCCTTCAGCTTTTACTGCTTTAAATGATTTGGTTGCCTGTGCTATTCTGTTTTCCTTATTGCTTGTATTTTGGGAGCCAGCAAAAGCTCTCTTGTCATGCTTGCTCCCGTGGAAGCAGTTCTTTTCGATGTAGATGGAACATTGTGTGATTCGGATCCGCTTCATTACTATGCCTTCCGTGAAATGCTTCAAGAGGTTAGATTCATTTTGTTTTGTTTAGAAGGAAAAGATCAACATCCCACATTAGTTGTAGAGGGGAACGAAACATCTCTCATATGGGTGTGGAAACCTCTCCTTAGTAGATGCATTTTAAAACCGTGAGGCTGATGGTGATATGTAACGGGTTAAAGTAGACAATATCTGCTAGCAGTGGGCTTGGGCTGTTACAAATGGTATCAGGCTGGATGAGCAGTGTGCTAACGAGAACGTTGGACCCCCAAGGGGGTGGATTGTGAGATCCCACGTTGGTTGGAGTGTTTGGAGAGGGGAACGAAGCATTCATCATAAGGTTGTGGAAACCTCTCCCTAGTAGACGTGTTTTAAAACTATGAGGCCGAAAGTGATATGTAACGGGCTAAAGTGGACAATATCTACTAGCGGTGAGCTTGAGTTGTTACAGTAACATATGCTTTACAGATTGGTTTCAATGGTGGGGTTCCCATTGATGAGGAGTTTTTCATTAAAAATGTTGCTGGCAAGCATAACGATGATGTTGCCCGAGCAATATTCCCAGATGATTTCGGACGAGGTTTGAAATTTTGCAATGAGAAGGAGGCTATGTTTCGAAGGTAAATCTTTCTCTTCATACCTTAGAATGTCTTTATAGGTCTGATTAGACAATATAATCCAATAACTTGGCGCAACAGATTGGTTACCGAACAATTAAAACCCGTGAACGGTTTGTATAAAGTGAAGAAATGGATAGAAGACCACGGAGTGAAACGTGCTGCAGTTACGAACGCCCCTCGACCGAATGCCGAGCTCATGATCTCCATGCTTGGTCTTACGGATTTCTTCGAGGCTGTTATTATAGGTGGTGAATGTGAGCATGCCAAACCACATCCAGAACCATATTTAAAGGCTCTGGAAGTACTCAAAGTGACAAAGGATCACACTTTCATCTTTGAGGTCTGCCTTCTTTGGAAGAACAATTTTTCTTTTCCATGAACGTTCAACGAGCATGTTTGGAATTTGACACATCTTGACTGCTTTCCATTGCTAGGATTCTGCATCAGGGATCAAAGCCGGAGTGGCAGCCGAGATGCCTGTCGTCGGTATAGCTACGAGAAATCCCGAGCACTTATTGATGCAAGCCAAGCCTGCCCTCGTCGTAAAGGACTACGACGATCCGAGATTGTGGGCAGCTTTGGACGAACTCGACAAGAGAGGTGGTACCGTTAAGAACGCATGAATGATCGTCAATGGACGGTATTGATGAAATGGTCTCTCAGTTCATTGGTACTCTCTATCTTGTTCTTAAATAACTTAGCCGTAGAAATAAAGTTGCTTCGGCTCTCAATGCCAATCCTAATACAATCTTGTTGCCTTTCTTTCTTGTATTTGTTGGCTGAAATTCTCTCTCAAATTTTATCGATATAGAAAAATGACCAAAATACCCTCACACATCAACCTCTCTAAACTAAAATATGAGTGAAGTTGGGTGGGCCTTCCTACAATGATGCCTCTTTTTTAGGATTCGAATCTATGTAGAAAAACTTCAACAGATTTACGCATTTGAATACTCGGCAACTCTCTCCTTCTTGGGGTGAGGCCCCTCTCAATGGGTTTTAAGAAGGACGGTGCCCTGAATCAATCAACTACTTTCACTTCTCCATGACCGCATAGTTTGACGACCATTTGTTATAGTGTTTTAAATTTTAATTCAAAGTTAGTAGTTAATAGACTTTTGTAATCGGTCTTTTATGGTAATTTAACATGTGTAGAAGTTTTTTTGGGATTAAAATTCTAGTTATTTTGGTTGAAAATATAAAAAAATTGTCTATATATATAGACATATTTTAATTATTTACCACGTAACATTTTACTTAAATTATAATATTTTTTTTAACGAAGGAAAATGGTTGAGAGAGTGAAGATAGATTTTTTTTCATCAACTAAACAGGGTCATCTCGTCCTTGACTCTAGCCCTAACCCCGCCAAATTCCCACCCCACCCCTTTTCCATTCACTTTATTTAGTAAATAATTAAATAATATTTATTAATTTATGGGTAAAATACTATTTTATAATATTGAAATTTGAGTTTTTATAAATTATTTTGAATTTATTAGATATTTTAGGTATTTTTTAAAATAAAAATTAGGTTGAAAATGGATATTATCCATTAATTTTTTTTAATTAATATTTTCTTAAAAATAGATATAAGAAATTGAAAAAAAAAATTATGCACAAAGAATATGATCCCACACGTTCTACGTGGAAAGTCCTGGCTCTGATCTCCACTAAAATAATTTGAAAATTTTGTAGGAATAAAGATTGAAATAGGAGGCAGGGACGGAGAAGCCTTTTATATCTTTATTTTCTACCCGTAAACCTCTCTAAATTATAACATATATTAAAACCGGTATATACGTGTACATAGTTGAATTGACTCAATAATAAGCTTAGTCACTTGGCTGACTAGCTGAATCAAATATTATCCAAATTTTGATCTTCAAAATGGTGATTTCATATCGAATTCAATCAAATCAATATATTCATTGATATGCAATGGTCAAATTTTAAATTTGGGCTGAATTTAAATAAAACTTGGGCCGACAAATGGGCTTTGAGCCCGTTGACGAGGCTGAAATTCCACGTGTGAAATTCATAAATAAAAATTGATTTTATTAAAAAAAAAAATGATGTCCGTAGCCAAACGCCAAGGGCATGCGCCACACGTGCGCTTTAACAGCGTACAGTATTTTCTTGACACGTCACGGTCTGATTCACGCGACTTTATCCAACTACTTCGGCGCGTGAATTTCAAACACTCCATTTTTAATTTTTTTTTTAATTATTATTTTGAAGAAAACTCTCTTTTACCTTTCCCAGTTCCTCTTCCTGTTCCATTTTTGTTTCTCTCTTGTAATGCCAGGCCAAACCCTAACCCTAATTTTATTTCCATTTCTTCCAAACCTTGAACTCCAACCCCCTAAATCCTGATTTTTCATCTTCTATTTCTAATTGGGATTGATATCATTGTTATTGATCTTCGATTGCCATGGATTCGCAGCAGAACAATTTGTTTGAAACGGCATCTCAACCTGATACGGGGAACGACGCCTACACATTTCTTGAGTTCAACACACAGGGAGAAGACTTCGATTACCCTGAATTTCGCGACCCTATTAGGTCCCCTGTAGCGTGGCCGACTCCTTCCGATTCGTTAGCGGATCACACGGACCGTGGTGGTGGGTCGGATCATCAGTCTGATGCATCTCCGGTTTCGGCTGCACCGGGAAGTGCCACGAAGGGCCGGACTGGAGGAGGTTCAGGGAATAGCGGCGGTAATAATCAAATGGTTGACGTATTGGCTGCCGGGATGAGTGGGTTGACGTTTGAGGATACGGGGGATGATGATAATTATGAGTTTGGGAAGGGAAATTTCACGGAGCATGCTTGTAGGTATTGTGGGATTTCGAATCCGGCTTGCGTTGTGAGGTGTAACGTGCCGTCATGCCGTAAGTGGTTCTGCAATTCGCGAGGGAACACGTCTGGGTCCCATATTGTGAATCACCTGGTACGCTACTCTGTCTTTGTTATTTGTTTCCGCGTGTTCTCCCCGAGATTTTTCAGTTTGTGGAAATTTTAAAATTTTATTTTTCCTTCGTATGGCGGAATTCGATGATGATCAATTGCCGGTGAATGTTGAATAACATGTGACAGTGTTGCGCAATAGGCGTTTATTATGATACTCTCTTATCAGGATTTGTTTTGCCTTATATGGAAGTTGTGGACGTACTATCCCGTTTAGCCTAGGTGAAATTGACATGAGAAAGGGCTGTTATATTTCTTTGTTTGTCGGTTGATTTTTCAGTTGCACGAGTGGGGAATGCTGTTTGTACCTCGTTGTATGTTTACGTTATTATGCTGTTCTGTATTTTTCTCATCCAAAATTCTTTGACGTGTAATGTCTTTTTGGATAGAATCACAGTTTTATTGTGCAATGTCCATATTAGTTTTCTTGCTGGTCAGGTTTTAATGGGACTTTAAAAGTTGATTAAATGTAGCCTTATCCTTATACAACTCTAGTAGTTAAATATTGGAAGGAACATGTAACGACCCGATTTTTGATACCTCGAATTGCAGGTCGTCACGTACACTGAAGGGTGAAAAGGGTGGTAAACTTTTCTTTTGTAAAACAGGAGACTCAAGAAATTTAAAACTTAAATATGCATTGAAAATCGACATAAAAGTAGTTTAAATGTAATATCTGTAGAGTCAAATCAAAACGGTTTACAAAAATACACAAGTTTCCAGAATGACTTTAAAATAATAGTAACATGACAAGAAGGACGAAGACTCGATCTAAAAGGCACCCCTGTAGCTGCATGTCTCCGCATGCTCCTTTAAACAGAAACTTAGGCTATGTACTCATAACTGTTTTTAACGATCGCCCAAACTATGGCTAAATGGCTGTACAAAACTTGGTAGGTCACTAAACAACTACCTTCAACATACCTCCTTTACGGAGTACTCAATCCTTCTCAGGTTCACAACCTAGGGGTTTTCTGTTATCTTGGCTCTAGGTTTCACGTATGTCTAGGTCCTTCATCAGTCTTGCGTGAGGAGCGCCTCAAGTCACTATGACCCTTGAAAAAAGGCCTCAAGGTAATACTCGTCGACATGGAGGCCTTAAGGTAATCATATCTACTTACTGAGCTCTAATTAATGGATTCTCCTAATGGTGTCGAGCAACATCTACCTGTTCCTAAGATCAGTAAACTATTTGTCACTACGCCCATTCCAGGCTAGAATGGTAACTACCTGCTCCTGTACTCTCAGCGGGTTAGAATAGTAAAACTACTTGTCACTATGCCCTTTTCAGACTGGGAATGTAAACTACTTGCTCATGTACCCTCATTGGGTTAGAATAGTAAAACTACCTTTTTAGGAATAGGAACTACATGTTACTTTGCCTTTTTCAGGCTAGAACAGTAAAACTACCTGTCACTACACCACTTGGGAAAAGGTCATGGCTCTCCCCATTAGGCACCACCAACATAAACGGTAGTGGTATACTCTCTATGGCTACTAATATCTTCTATGGGTGACAACTAAGTCATGTGTAACAAGTAGACCCTAATCTCTGTTGGTTACTTCACGAATAGGGGTTGTGCCCTAGCTGTCCCTACAAGGTATCTGGTCAACCCAAGGAGCCTATGGAACTCATGACTTGGTGCTACGACCAAATTACGTGAAAGAGTACCTTATAGTCTATGGAAACCATAATTAACACGTTATGACACATAATATTTAGTCCAACTCATAACTAGACAATAACGGGCTATCAAAACCCTAAATGAATGCATAACAATGACTAAAGACATACAACATGCTTATCATGCTTATTAAGTGATAATAATCCAACCTCAGCACACTAAGAAGCATACAAGTCCAATGTAAATTTTTCACATCATCTAAGCGCAATTCTCATGAGACTGAGTTACCTACTTGATTATAGACTTCTCAAGCTTGTTTTGGGTCTTTGAGGATATTCCAAATTTCTCCGAAATTCCTTAATATGCCCTACATTTAGTCAAAAGAATAAAATAGGTGAAAATGGCTAGCTTCAAATTTGTTAAAGAAAAAGTTGAGAAACTAACCATGGACTATACGGTCATCTTCTCCAACTTGCGTGCTTGCCATTCTTCTTTCTTTTCCTTTTTTTTTTTGAAAAAATATCTTCTATTTATTTTCTTAAAATTCTAGACAGACTAGAATTGGTTTTTTATGCATGTTGAAATAAAGCATATTTACTTTTGATGGGCTATTACCATATTAATTTTCTTACTAGAGAACTGTGATTTGTACATAATGAGATCAAATTGTTTCTTATATATATATATAAAAATATCTTATTGGAGAACTTACATTAGTTATTTTATTGAATGATATGACGATTTTAGGTCCGGGCAAAACATAAAGAAGTTTGTCTTCACAAAGACAGTCCTCTGGGAGAAACAATTCTCGAGTGTTACAATTGTGGGTGCCGAAATGTATTCCTCCTTGGATTTATTTCTGCAAAGACAGAAAGTGTGGTTGTTCTACTCTGTAGGGAACCTTGCTTGAGTGTTAATGCTCTTAAGGATATGAATTGGGACTTGAGTCAGTGGTGCCCTCTAATTGATGATAGGTGCTTCTTGCAGTGGCTGGTTAAGGTTTGTGTATCTTTCTGTAGGATCAACATCTCTGATATGTGGTGATATGTAATGCATTGTCACTGTCCTATGAACATTTTGCTTTGTAGATTCCTTCTGAGCAAGAGCAGTTGAGAGCACGGCAAATTAGTGCCCAACAAATAAATAAAATTGAGGAACTTTGGAAGACAAACCCAG